ATTTAAAAGAGTTGCTATGCAAAAAAAACCAATTCTGTATGCTCCCGACTTTGATAAAAGGTTTATTATACAAACCGATGCCTCAGGCAATGGCATGGGTATAGTACTATGCCAATTAGATGATGAACAACATGAACATCCTATCTTGTATATAAGCAAAAAATTTACTAAGTTTGAAAAGAATTATTGTACTACTGAAAAGGAGTGCGCTGCTATCATCTACGCTAACAAGAAACTGCATTTTTATCTGGATGGTCAGCAAGAATTCTTGAATCAAACTGATCTTTGGTCTGGCTACAATCCAACGCCAAATGTAACTCTAGATTGATGCGCTGGGCACTCTCATTACAACCTTATAATTTTAAGGTCATTCATCGCAAAGGATCTTTGCACAAGAACGTAGATGTTCTGAGTAGAATTAAGTAATATAATAACTTAGTGTATGTAACCACGTTTAGAATTTATTTTATTATTTAATGTATGCTCAACTGATGTATTTGAACGTTCTCCATTTCTTTCTATTTAAATGTGGTGTAAAAGTATTTGTTTAAAACTTAAAATTTTTGCCCTGAAATTTGGAAATTTATAAGAGAAATTACCTTTTCTCTTTAAGCAATTGAGTAAGCAGAGCTCATAAACTTTCGAATTTTACAGAACTTTTCCCTTCGGCAAAAGTCTCTCCGTTGGGGCAGAGGTTGTAACAGCTTTAAATATTATTAAAATCTTGTAGTTTAAATAATTTAAATAGATGAACATTAAGGTACTTGTGAATGGCAATATTTGAAACCAGACTCGAGTGCCACATGCGACTCTCGCACGAATGTAATTTATTTTTAAATGTTAGAATTCATCTTCCTTCTTGTTTTGTATGTCGCCTTTTGAGTGTTAAATAAAGTTTTTTTCTGTGTTCCATCATTGGAGTTGCTTCATATTGCCAAAAAAGTATCACAATGTAAAAATGGATCGATCATTACCGCTCTTAAAGGTTTACAAATGAATGAGATTGCAATGCGCCCGTAACCACATAGCGTATGGTAAAAAAATGGATCTCTAATTTTCATTGATGAAAAAAAAATTGGAATCTAGCTCGTCCTGGCGGGTATTCATATCACTGGCATGACTTATGAAAAGAGCCTCGGAGCTATTTCAATATGAAGAGTGGAGGATTCTCTGTTATGATGCGGGTAGAGTTTGATTTCAACGGGCAAGTGGGTTTCACCTTTCTAGATGGTCAGCAAAACTAACAGGTCGCATTATGCCAAATCACTGAAGGACAGAATTGGGTGTACCAGCATGATAATGCTCCCATTAAATATTAGCTTCAGTTTTAAAAGGTCCCTGAAAGCTTTAGAGAATTAGAGAAAACCCTACATTTTATACTGCTAATTGCAGTTTTGACAAGAAAAAAGCGGAGTCACCTTTGCTGCTTCATTATATCAACTGCTGGAGCCTTAAGAATTATGAAAATCAAATAGTTTTAGAAACTAAACAATTTTGTGAGTCTAAAATACAAATGTCTTTTGCAGACGATGAAGATATATGCATTGCTGGAAAGGCAGCATTTAAATGTTCCGAAGATTTTATATAATATTTGTGCGAGTAGTTTGGTTTTCGGCTTTTTGAAAGTCCAAATAAATTTGTTCATATTATCAAGAAATAAATTTGTTTAGAAGAATATAATTGTATTTAGCTTGAAATTGGCTATTGTCTCGAAATACAATTTTGCATTGGTTCATTACAAACCAAGGACGTTATAAATTTTCACTATAAATAAAAGTCTAACCACCTTATTATAAACAGGCTGTCAGTTTTTAGATTGTTACCATCAAATATTATTGCTCTGTATTATTTTAAAGAAATTAAATAATGAAAAATCTGTATGTATGTATATGTATGTTCTTGGCACTGTGAAAAACCGACGGTACCTAGAACCATCCAATTTTCAAAAACGTAGTCCTCCACCTGAGCATATGCACCTGGAAGGCCGAATTTTGAATTTCGAGTTTGCATTATTATTTATTTCCTACTTTGTAAAGCTTTAATGAATTTTTAATTAACAAACTCAACGTTTGTCACTCGGGTAGTGACAAAATTGTTCGAAATACAACATTCATACTTCCAGTTAAAGACACTATTGCCATTAGGAAAATTTTAAGATATTTATCCTTCAATTTTAATCAATAGAAGCAATCTGTTTCCGCAACCCCTCCCAAAAAACTTTTATTTTCCACGCTCCAGCATGTTGCTTTTCAATGTGATTAATTTAAATAAATATGATCATGGGATGTCTAACTAGAAATTTTCAGTATTTTTATGAAGTGACACTAGCTGGACTCATTAAAATCATTGTATACTTTTTCTTTTTTATGGTAATTATTTTAGGCAGCTGGCCGTGCAAGCGGCTGGTTTTTAAAGAAATAATAGAAATAATATAAACGTATGGTATAGCAACTTCTAACACTCTGTCAGGAATTCGAGTGATTTTTGAATATTTTGGAATTTTGCTTTTGAATTAAATTCTATGTGGCGTAAGTGCGAAGAACGTGATATTTAATAAATAAAGTTAACACCTAAGAAGTTAATAATAATAAAAAAAAGTTTTTGCAAGTCATCTTATAAGGTATTTCTCCCACTTCCCTAGCGTGCCTTCGTGGTGTAACGGTAGCACGCTGGGCCGATATTTCAGAGGTCCGTGGTTCGATTCCAGGCGAAGGCGGTTGCATATTTTTCATCTCTCTGGCTTCCAAAAAAATCCTAATGACTCTACAATCTTACTAAGAAATGTGAACAATGATATGATGAACTGAGAAAAGATTGAAAGGGGGGGAGAAAAGTGTATACCAACACTTAACATTGCATCGGGAATTCTAACCATATGCTACTGTGCTGCTTTTAAAACTGTGACTTTGCTGTTCAATTGTATGTGATGTAAGTTTGAAGAAAAAGCTGTTTAATAATAAAGCTAAAAAGAGAGAGGGAAAAAGGGGGTGAGCAGGGGGTGAGTGCAACAACAGACTAATAGACTGCGAGTTCAGCGAGAGCGTAAAAAAAACCGTAACGAATCCTTATTATAAATTAAATACAATGCTATAAAGCAAAATTAAATAAAATGTTGGTCATGAAATCCATCTCAGTATGAAATGAAATGGAGGAAGAAACTTTACTGAAGCTGATATATAAATTAGAGGAAAGGTAGGTCTTCAGTAGTTTTAAAGCAAGTAAGTACCGAGCTCAGATTACAGAAAGTTAATAATTAACGTTTGCAAAAATTTAATAAGGTAGAATTTAAAATGAAAATAGATGCTGAAAATAATGCAAGTAGGTACTACGCTCAGTGCTAAACAGTTGCAGAAAGTTAATAATCGAGAATTTAAGGTCATTATCCGAAACTAAAATTTTGAAGAGAATAAAAATAATTCATTTTAATTAACATTTTAAAAAATATTTTTAAAAAAATCTGAAACGTTTCAGATTTTAATGGTCGCCCAAAAGGGTTTGTTAAGGTTTTTATGCTCTCGCTGAGCTAGCAGTCTATCAGTCTGCTGTTACACTCACTTCTACAAAACCACTTTTTTTTTTTTTTTTTCTTGTCTTTTTAGATTTATTATCAAGCATCACTTTCTTCTCACTTACCCTATATACAATTCAAGAGCAAAATTATAAGAGTTTTAAAAGCGCAATAAGAGCATATGTTCAGAATTCCCGATCGAGTGTTAAGTGTCGGCACATATTTTTCTATTTTCTTCCCACTTTTCTCAGTTCATAATATTAATGTTCAATTTTCTTAGCAAGAAGGCTTAACAAAATTTGTTTTGTCTTTTTATTATTAACGATTTGTGTGTTAAATTTATTCATTAAATACACGTTCTTCGCACTCAAGCCACACAAAATTCAATTCAGTGGCAAAATCAAAACCATATTTAAAACAGGATATCTTCTTTAGAACTTCTGATAGACAGCCTGGCATGCCGAAGATAAAATTGTTTCATTCCGTACACTGTTACCACTGCTTACTTTCAAATCGTTGAGTTTGTTAATAAAAAATTCATAAAAATTTTACAAAATATGCAATAGATAATAAAGTAAATATGAAATTCAAAATTCTTGCTTCCAGGAGCACTAGTACTACGTTATTCAAAATTTGATGTATATAGGTAACATCATTTTTTCACAATGAAAGAAACTTGCGTACATTCATGCAAATTCTTCATTATTTTATTTCTTTAAATATAATACAGAGCGCTAATATTTGGTGGCCACAATATGAAAAGTGATATCGCGTTTTTAGTGATTCAGTGCAAAATGCCTTTTCGAGACAAATGGATGAGTCCCGATGGATTATTTTGGGCTAATAATTTAGATAAAACAGCTCTTGGGGCATTTTAATGAACCACTTTCAATAATCACGAAAACTATTCTTCTTTACTTGAAATCTGTAAAGACTCATTAAACACTACGGCTTAATTATATTGTTTATCAGATACTAAATTATACGTAAGATGACAAAGTGTATTTTTGATAGCACTCAAATAAAAAAAATATTATAATAGATCTACAATTCATTTCCACTAGCAGCTTGTTGGTGGAACTTGAAGAACTAGCAATTCTGGTGGACACAGAGAATTTTAATTGATAAGCCGAAATGCTCATTGAGCAGCATGGTACACATTTTATTATTGCAGTTTTGAAATAATGAATTATAAAGGAACTCCTAATCTTTTTAATAGTGTTTGAGCAGCTTTGTCATTTCTCTGCCCTTGAGGCTCTGATATATCATTTAAACTCACTCTGTACGAGCGCGCCTTTCTTAATCGGTGCTTGTATGACAGGTCCGTCTGCCATAATGAGAGAAATGTCAGGCAAAGACACTTAAAGTTTATGATGTAAGATGAGTGATGAAAACGGACGAGGGTATGTAAATGAAGTCGATAGTCAGAGGGTGCTCCTTTAAATCACTCTATCGAATTTGAAATCGAGATCAGGGTCTTGCTGGTCAGGTCATTCTGAGGGTGTGGCGAGTAAGCCTGGGGCATTTGCAGATAGGGCATATATATACTAAGCCGCTCTCATAGCGTCATTAATATTCAATCAAAGTTGGCATACTTTTTTTTACTACTGGATTTCACTTTTCGGTTAAAATGAAGACACTGGTGAGTAATTTCCTTGTATTCTTAATAAAATGAAGTGTTTTGTATGAATATTTTCATTAAAAGTGATATTGTTGTGGAATATATTATAGAATAATAACAGATATTTTATGAAGATACAGAAATTGCTGTTTACTTTCCTGAACCGAAAGATACTTTATTACGCTCTTACAATATTGAATCTCCTAAAATATTGTTATTTTTGACAAATATCAAGAGAAACTATATACCATTTTCTAATAATATAAAAAAAGCGGTATGCTTAGTTCAAAAACTAAATTTACATTTAACTCGTGCAATAATGCTTGTTAAAACTAAGTTTTCTTCAACATTCAGCCGACATCGTATAGAATACCTACATGTTACCTGGCGGTTTTAGACAAATGAAATATCACAATTATTGTATACTTTACCTAGACATTCTGTTTAATAACTGGTCAATAGACATATGCTGTTTACGCAAAATACGAGAAAAGGGTTATGATAAGGCTATTATTAAAAGACGTTCATTCCTCAAAAACACAAATGTTATTTTTAAAAATTAATGAAAGAGTGCTATTAAAATGTTTTTATTCAAAATACATAAAAAAGAAAGTTGTACGGAACGGCATTTTGAATTCACTTCATTACTTTTTTCACACAAAGACATTTCTTATTTCGGCACTTTGTTTTACACACACACTTCACGAATCTTTGGCCACTTGCAGCGGACTGACCTGATTAGAGGGAGAGTTTCGCTGTCAGGGATATCTTCAATTTTAAGCAAGTTCTTAGAGCACAAATGAACTGTGATCTCGTATATAATTATTTCAAAATTCCTTCGAAAATTCTAAATCGGTAAAAAACATCCTTTGTCACACTCATTATTATTATTATTGTACGAATTATTATATACTTTTCCTTGGCACCGTATATAATTTGTAGTTGTGTTTCATATTCTGCCAGTTTGTCATTTGGCATTCCATAGAATGTTTAAGCAATGTGTGAAATGTTTAATCGTTTCGTCCATTGGACCGGCCAGTTTACATCATTCTATAAAATCCCTAGTTATTTTGTAGAATGCCATATTTCATACTTTACCGGTCACAGATATATGACGACCGAAAGATATGTTAAAACAGCCTCCTTTTTTGCACAATTTCTTTTCTTCTGATGAGAAGGGCCTTGCATCTGTTACCGTTGAAATCCAAAGAATCTTACGCCAAACAAATGAATTAACATATACCCCAAACAGAAAGTTGCTGCTTTGCTTAATTTTATGTAATATAACGATGTTTCATGTTTCTTAAAATTAAACACATAAGTATATGTAAATAGCTTGCTCAAAGGAAGTTTTATAAATTCAGGCATGTTCTACCTTTTTTAATCAGTATGTATGTCTTTTCCTGTCCTCCTTTTTTCAGTACAGAAATTAAAACCTTTAATAAAATATGAGACGATTGAGATTTCAATGTCGCACTAGAAGGCTTGTTAAGATTTCATATGCTCTCGCTTAGCATCGCAGGTTGCCAGTCTGCCCTTGGGCTCATTCCTGTTAATCCAACTTTTTTTTTTTTGGGGGGGGGGGGGGTCTTTTTAGTTTTATTATTAAGCTTCTCTTTCTTCTCACTTCGCATACAGTTCAATAGCAAAATCCCAAAATTTTTAAAAGCAACTTAGCAGAGTATATGCAGAATTCTTGATACAGTGTTTAGTGCTGGCATACATTTTTCTCTTTTTTCAGTCTTGTCTCAATTCATCATATCAGTGTTCAGTTTTAGTAAGATGAACTACAAAAACCTTCTTCTCTTTTTTTTATTTATTTTCGGGCGTTTATTCATTAAATATAAGGCTCTTCGTACTTACGCCTCATAAATTTCAACACTAAAATCATAAAATATTTAATACAACGTATCTTCAGAATTCTCGACAGAGTGGTAGGGGTTGCCTTACACTTTTTTATATTCGCTATGTTATTTCTTCAAAAATTAGCCCCTCGAGCGGCCAGCCGCCTAAAATAGTTATCATAAAAGAGAAAAAAATATATAATTATTTTACAGAGTCCTGCTAGTGTAATTTCATTAAAAAAATTTAATATCTGTGATTGGATATCTCATAATTAACCTAAATCATATTAAAAAGTAGAAAAATATTAACTGTGTTTATTGCTTTTAGATCGCATAGTTCGCTCCTGAATAAATTTCCAGATCAAATCTGAAAGTTAAATATCTTAAGCTTTACTAAATAGCAACACGCTAGGGCGGGTAAAATAAAAGAATTCTGTTTCCGGCAATGGCAGTACATTGCTTTCAAACAGCCAAGTTTATTGATTAAAATTGAAAAATCTTACATTTTGCCGAATGGCAATAGCCTGGCACCATGACGATAAAAATATATAGATAAAAATGCCCCCAGGTAACTTCCTTTCCAACCAGAAATCAGATATTTTAACATCTACATCAATATCAGGTAGCCTACGGGTTCTCCTCTCATCAACATATGTAATTTAAAAATAGTACAGACAGAAAGCAAGAATTTTCTGGGAAATTGTTATTTAAACAACGAAAACAAAAACGTCAATAAGTAAATCAGAGAAAAAACATGTGTAAATAAAGGCCTGCGTCGTATAAATGAAATATTTATTATTAACATGAATAGGCATGAATCGAAACAGAAGTAAACTGGTATATAAATGTGAAAGACATGAGAAAGCCGAACGGTATTCAACTATTTAATTAGTTGTACTATTTAATTAGTTATACTATTTAATTAGTTAATTGTAGTACTAATTGTTTTTTACATGCTTATTTTAACGTACAGAACATAGCCACATTAAAGTGTAAATTAAGCTTTCTCTATAGCAAAATGAAAAAAATAATTCGGAGATGATAATCAAAGAGTTAGAAGTGTCAAAATGCATTTCTTTGTACCACTAAAGAAAATAGAGTTTACAGACACCTATAATTATGAAGTTCAATAGAGTTTGCTTATTGAATACAAGGCAAGTTATAAAGCCACTAAACATGAAAAAGTATAGAAAGAAGTTTGAGCATGAATTTCAGTTACATGAAAAGAAATTTGTTTCATGATACTTTTTTCTTTACTTACGGAATTATTATTATCAGATTCATTATTTATCTTCCGATATAGATTATTTATTTTCCTTCCAATAAATAAATAATATCATTTGCTTTCTCTCTCTGTATGTATGTGTGCGTAAGATAAAAAAATATGGAACTAGAAATTACTCATTTTAATTTGGGCACTTTCCTTTTCTAAAAATAGCAATAATTTTTTCTACTGCGCCACTGAAATCTAACCTGCATTATGTCATCTGCATTGCACAGAGCTCTTTGCCAATCACCTTCCAAAACCTGAAGAAAGAATTCCAGTGTTATATATAGGTCTTGCACTTTTCTACTCGCTCTTGCCTGGCTAGTTCCTGTATTGTCACTTCACTGTATATTCTGTTTTTTAAAAATGTGATAAGCGTATATAGCATTGTGGGGTGTTTGTCACAGCCATAGTGATGCAAAAATGAGAATATGTATCAGAGAAATTAATAATCAAGAAATAAAATTATGTGTGTTGATATCTACAAAGTATTCCTTGTCTGCAAGTTTTTTCTTTCTTCTGCTATGCAATTACGCCAGCTCCATCTATAACCATCGACTGTGATTGCAGTTATTTGTGTCTTCTCACACGCATTCCTAAATCAGTATATATATATATTGAAATTAATAATAAATAAAATAAAGCAATTCAAAAATTTATTTAATTCCGCAATCTTCCCCAAGAAACTACTTATCTGGATACGTACGCTCTTGTAACAAATTTCTTTTAATACTTAAAATATTTTTTTCACAATGCAACGATCTACAAATTATTAAAGACGTAATTCTTGATTACTGTAAATACAGACTTTCTAACTATTATACTAAACGCAAAATTTACATTAAAATAAATTTTCTCCATCCGCAGTTTGGCAAATTACTCTTCTAATCTAATTTTCCACAAATGTAAAGTTTTCTTCCCAGCTTTAGACACCAGAACAGTGGTTGCATTTAAATATTAAAAAAAAAAAAAAAAAAAAAAAAAAATTAGCAGCTTGCTAACTAACCACCATGAAATAGAAGAGCCAGCTGAATGACATTGCAAATTGCCTAAATTCAATCCATACGTATATGAACATTACCAGCACATAATTACTGGAAACGGATATCATTCAAATCATGCAACTTAAAAAGCGCACGAGTTATGGAATAAAATATAGACCAGTAAGATACGTCAACAAAAATTACTCTTACAAAAATTTAGAAAACAGTATCAACGAATTTATTGCTAAGACCAGCTATCAGCTTAATTTGCCTATTGATACCTTTTTAAAATGGGAAGATGAAATCCCTAAGCAAATTAATATTGAACTAAAACCAGTAAAATTTCAAATTCAATTAAATTGGTCTGAACTGCTGTCAACTATTAAGAATTTAAAACAATTATTCACTATTACCAAAATGGATAAAGCAAATAATAACTTTAGCATAATATGAAAACTTCTTTACACAACTGCTATTAATAAAGAACTTTTTAACGACAATACTTAAAAATTAGCAAACCCTGCAGAAACCTCTATAATTAACAGAATTAAAACTTTTAATAAAAAACTCAAAATCTCTATAAGTCCAAGGCACAGCAGATTTATCAACCTGTTTGCTCTTCCCAAATTCCATAAAACACCTTTAAAATTCAGATTCATTGCAACAATAATTACAAGACTATGTTTTTGCTCTTAAAAAAAATTTAAGTTAATCTTCAATGCTTGTAACACTGAACATAATTATTGCTGTATCATCAATAATAACACTCCTGTCATTGATACTGTTCAGTCTATCGGCATACAAAATATTAACTGCTTTGACTTTGCAAATAGTAACTGCTATGACCTCGCTTCCATTAGAAGAAATTTAGACTAGCCTTCTTGATCCGCCTAAACTCTTTCTTGCTATGCTCACAGTTATAGACTTTAATAGATGAAAAATCTTCCTTAAATGCACTAGTTTTAATAGCTACACTAAATTTCAAAATCAATATTTTAAGCAATTTAGAGGAATACCGATGGGAACGCACACTAATATATCCATTTGTAACCTCTTTCTATTCATTAAGGAACTTACCGGCAACACGATTTAATTTACTAAGCCCATACTTACAGATATATAGATGATCTTATTACTTTTAATAATTTTAACGAGATTGAAACTTCAGAAATTTATCCAGAGTGCCTTACTCTTAATAAAACTAATACTTCACAGTCGACTATCTAGCTCCTCAAATAACTAATTATAGAAAGATTCTACTGTATGAACAACTTCAATTTGGTTACCTCTTAGAGGCATTCACAAGGTACATTCTCATGATCAGTTGGTTTTGCACGTTGCTTAGCCGTCTGTAGTGCAAAAACTCAATGAAGAGGTTGCTGAGCTGAGTCCATTGTTCGCAGAGCATAATAGTATAAAATTAGGCTGGCCATTCCTTTCTATAAATATCATTTTTGTATGAAATCATCATAAACTATCCTTAAGTGAAGTTAAAGTCTAACAAAAGTTTTCCACACAAATTAGCTTCTAGTCTAAGCAAGGTTTATTAATTGTTTAACGTAAAGTACGCGAGTGCTATTTGTATAAGATAGTCTAAAATTTCATGTTTCAAATGTTCACACATAGCAATGTCATGCTATGTGTAACTTAAAGCCATAAAGAGCACTAACCCACCATCTTCAAAGAGAGCTCATTAACAAAAATGTGTTGAATCCTTATCGGTTCCATACCTCCTTTAAATGAAATGATAATAACCAGACCTCTTTATACAAAATGTAGTATAATGACTCTAACTTATTAGTATACCTTATTGCATAAAGGTTTCGCCTTGTTCTCTGAAATAAAATTTAAACGAATAATATTTTATACATCTCTGTCGATAAATATCAGTAAAAGGTTTTTGAGTTGAGCTAATTAAAATTTTAAACATGCTTTTAACAAGAAGGAAGACACAAAAATTCGAAATTTTAGTGGAAAAAAACTTCAAGGAAAAAAAAAAGAACTAGAAACAAATACTTTGTAATGAATTATCAAAATATTCCACACTCTTATTAGTTCAAAGAAATGACTAAATGATTTTTGATTGATTAAGCCACTGATTTATTTGAGATCTTTATGTTAAAAGACATGAGTAGTATTTTGCTATATATCTTAATGATTGTTAAGTTGATTTTCTGATTCAAATTTTATTCAGCATTTGCATTTAACTAATTTTCACAAAATGACCATTATTGAGATCTAACTTCAGCAAATTAAAACAATATATTTAAACTCATGTCCAATATAAAAGTAATCTCTCAACTAAAATATATTGATATTTTTTTCAGGTGGTGTTTCTGTGTTTTTTTGCTCTATCATGCGCTTCCATATATAAAGTACCAGTTGTGAAAACCGTAGTTGTGAAAACAATTCCTGTTCATCATCTGGAATACGACGATATCCCATCTCATAGTTACGTTGCTGTTCCATCCAAAAGTTACTCTGCAGTTCAAAGTCTTGGACATCCTGCACTTTTGGGATACCATTACCCAGTTAAAAAGTATACAGTGTCCTATCCCAGTGGAATATATTATGGACCTCATGGGCCAGGCATTTATGATCCAAAGTTCCATGACGAATTGGAGCAAGCATACTACAGAGGTTGAATATGTAAGGTAAAAAAGTTTCTTCTTAATTTTTCAGTTTTATTGCAGTGATCAATAAATAGTACATACAAAAAAATTACATCGCCCTTAAATGTGCTGCTAGTTGAGTTGTATGTCTCCTGCTGCTTCGATGACTTTATTTTTTTTTTAAATTGGCAATGGATCAAGAGAATATTTGCTGAACCTTAATTTTTGAAGATATACGCGCGCTCTCCTCTACATTGACGAAAAAAGAAAATTATATATTTCTATATTTAAAGAAAATTATAAATTATATATATAAATAATTTATTCTTCATGTTTTTGAACTTCCATAATGCAGATGTAAATCTAAAAAAATTTTAATATATTTATTATAACCTACACTTAGAGTTCCATTTCAGTATTTTATTAAATACTTAAGCCATATATTTATTCGAACACATATGACTTTAAGTTTATCATGACCGTCAAATGCAGCGATTAAGAGAGATTTTTTTTACAAAATACAAAATGTATTTTCTTCCTTCATTAGTATTTCATGTTTCTTGTAAACGAAGACATAGAACATGAATGCATGGCACCATTCCATTCAGATAAATGAATACACCTCAATTTTCAATAGCTCAGAATATTAGTATATAAATTATAACATATGTATATAATATGCATATAGTTTTACAGGCAGCCTTAGGAATTTAGATACAGCTATCCAAACAAGGATTCTTTTCGGAGCGATATAAGACTAAACGCAATAAAGTAAAAAAAAAAAAAAAAAAAAAGAGAGTGGTTTAAATTACTGCATCAAAACGTGCAATAATTATTTGCTTAAGGAGTAAGGATAACCTTCGTGGAAAACTTTCTATAACAAGTGACCCTCTGCACGTTACACAAGGATTCATACCTTATACTACCAATCAGTTTGCTGGGATCGAGTTAAATAACCATTATAGCTTAACGTGATCCATTCAGCCTCTGGTTTTTGGTTTGGTTTATTTAATTATGGCAAAGCACAGTAGGGCTATCTGCCTAAGGGGAGGGATGCCTTCGTGGAGGACTTTCTAAGGAAAACTGACTCGTATACACGTTACACATGGGGAAAACCACGAAAACGCCCATGCAGCCAGCCCTTTCACGAGATTCGAACCTCGGATCGAACTACCAGTGTTCAGCAACTTTACCGTTCGGCCGCTGGTGGGCATTCAGCCACTGGTGAGCGAACATAAGGAAAGCTCTTGCAATAACATGCTGTTCTGTTCGTTTCTTCAAGAAGTGGTGAATAAATTACAAGTCTATATATTATATATGCCGAAATCATGCATCATATAATTAAGTACATCAAATGTATATATTTAAGACTACATTAAATGAATCTATATAGAGTATATTTTAATTTCTTCTACGCTTTGTGCTGAGAAAATTAAAAAATGCCTGAAACATATTCTTCATGAACCTAAGAATACTCATTCTAAAGAATACTCATCAAATACAAAATTCATTTATTGTCAGAAGAGGAACAACTGACAATAAAAATATTTTCTCTCTCCACACTTTTCTAATATCGTCAAGCATTTTCGAAAAGAACAAATTTAGAATTAAATACAGTCAGAAATTTATAGGAAACATATTGACACCAGTAGAACTCGAAAAACTTGGAATTATTATGTAAAATATTAAAAAATATCAAATATTCAAAACTTCTATGAAGAAAATGAAATTGAACACTTTTCCCCCTAATACATCTTTTCTGATTTTGCTTATAGAAGTCATAAGAGAAAAGAATTTCGGAATGAACGTTTGGAATAAACGCACTCAGTTACTTTAAGGAAGAATCTTTCTATTCTTTTATTATATGTATTAAAATCTAATGTTGGTTCAGTAAAATTGCTCACATGCAACGTTTCTCAATCATTCATATTTTCGCTACAGTTAAGCAAAATATAAAAATATTTCTACATGTGTTTTTAAAAATCATAAAACATTTCTGAATTTATAATGCATATAAACTCACTTTCATATTATACAAGATCTAGGATCTACCGTCTAATTCCTTGAAACCTCGCTTAAGTTACAATTAAATTTGTGCGTAGATACAATTATGTATTCAGGATGAAATGTTTACAATTTTCGCTTCCAAATGCATTTCATATCTCACATATACTCAAGTCAGGAAATAATACTAACATGTCAAAATTACAGTCGAATTAGAAAAATATATGAATATTTCTCTAAATTCTATACATTTGTTTTGGAACACTTATTATAAATACCTTCATTTAAACATTTAATATTTTTATTTCGGCATCACAACTAAATTTTGAAGCACAAAACTTAAAAGTAGGTAATATCATCATATTTCACACAAAAATATTTTTCTTGAAAACAATTTCTTATCCATAACATCTTGAACATTTGGAAAATGTTATCTGCTTTTATATTTCTTTAATGGCTTCAAGTTCCTGGATTTTCAAGTATTTTATTTAAGCACTATACTTACATTGCATTTTAAATACTCCGAATCAGATTTTACACTCAGTTGTTAGTTGATTTAATAAATTTGTTGTATATTTCGAAGATTCAGCTTTAACTGTATTTTACATGAGAAATTTTGAAAGGTTGTTCATATGTGTATGTAAATATTCTTCAAGCTTGGAGAACTTCAGGAATTTTATAAATTTACAAGCCCGAAAAATAATAAAAAAGAAAATTATTATGAAAATGTTTGATAGCAAGTGTCCAAAAGTGATTATTCTGCTATTCTTCTATTGTTCTCGAAAAAATAAGCATTTGATCCTCGATCTTTGGTAGACCAGTAAATTCGGTGTAAGAGACAAGATCAGACACTCACTTAAGAGTTTTAAGAAATTGCATACATACAAAAACTAATCACTCTGTATATAAAAGAATTATTTCTTCCAATCAGCTAGACACTAAAATATAACACATATCATGTTTCAATATCTGCCGAACCTCTTTCGAGACGTAAGATTATACTAACTTCATTTAATTTCATTTTTGCTTAGAAATCTGATCTCAGTATAACTCAAAATTATGAGCCTAATACTGAGGATGGGTTTTTAAATAAATATTTATATAAATCTTGGTTTAAAACTCCATCACTGTTTGCAACCACAAAATAAATAAAAAAATTGAACAATTTATGAAAAATTGCAACAATTTGTTAAATGAGTTTTATTTTAAATTAAGTTAAATTTTCGATTTATCGAATGATGAAAATATACAAAATCCGCAATGACTAATTTGATTGTAAATGAGGGTCTTATGAGCAAAGCTCAACAGTGAATAAGATAAGGCTGTGTCGAAATCTAGAATTATCGATGTATATTAATGCGTTATCACAAGTATGCGTGCAAAATTTTAAGAACAGCATCGCAGTAGAAGGAGTCAAAGGTTTTGACTCAAACAAATGAATAAACAAATACGGAAACCAAGCTAACAGCAAATTTTTAAATGACTAATTTCGAGCTATAACAATTCAATTTAAAATGAATTTTATTTCAGTCTGTGTTAGTTTTATTAATAATAAATTTCTTTTTCTTCGAGTTTGAGAAAACCTAAATATATTATATTAAACGTCTAATTATCGTCTGAATTTGCTATTCCGTCCTAACGTACGTAAAAAAACTTAGAAAAATAAAAACAAAGTAGAAAAATTTTTCTACGTACTATTAAAACTCCTAACAATATAAAACATTTAGCTTTTATTGATATATATTCGTTTTATTTTTGATGAAGCAATGTAGTTTTTAGTAACAGGTTTGGACACTGACTGATAGGATTCATCTCGTATTGGTCATACCTTTTACTGATTCAGATAAATAATCAGAAACTTCTAAACAATACTAGCATTTCTTCTTATGTTTTCTTAAAATTGTAATAATACATTCTTTTTCATTTTCAGGTTAAAGTCAGGAATTTTCATCTGAATTCGATGTATGTATCTAAGTTTATTTCCAAGAGCTGTAAATAGATTACAATAAACTTGTCCTGTTTGTTTTCTAAATGGTCTGTTTAATCTGTTATTATGCTTGTATATATAATCATTTGAGGAGATAGCTTTAGAAATCTTTTAGAGACTCAAATCTGTATTTTTAAATCATAATTTTCTCTCATAATAGTTTCTTCAGGATTCTGACATGTCGTGAAGAAAACTGAATTTCAAAACTGTTGAAAATGATGAATACGTTATAATAAGTTTTAATCATATAATATATAATACATAGCAGATTTGAAAATGTTCATCAGTATAATTTAATAAACAATTTATGTTATGGAAATAAATTCAAGTTACTCTGAAACAACTTTAATATCTATAACTTGATTATTCAGTCAATTTTCCATTATACAAGACGAGACATTAGTTAATTTCAAGTAAAGCAGCAGAATATGTTTCAATTTATAGAGCTCATCATCCATAAAAAATGCACATATAATTAAATTTTATTTACTCTAAATGAAGTTTTATTGTAAAACTTAACTTTCTTACAAGTAACACTTTGTATTTTACCTCTGTGTTAGAATTTTCTTTAAAGTTAGTTTTAGACACATGAAATAATGCAATTAGATAAAAAGTTAGAACCAAAATACTAGTTCAAAATACTAATTTTAGTTACGGTTAAACCACCAGAGTATTTCCCCCAAGTCATGAGATGAAAATACAGTTACATACATACAGTTTCTCTATAGTTAAAGCTACATTTTTAAGTAGGCAAAATAATGTAGTTAACTAAACAGTTAGAAAACAAATAATAGTTCAAAAGTCCAGTACGGCGAGCATGTCCTCAAGAAGCAAAAGAGTTCTCCCAATGTTCGGTGCACAATGGAATGAGCACATCTGAACCTTCTGACATTTCACTAAATATGTTGATTCGTTTCTGAGCTCCGATGACAGAAGGACTGATTACGGGATCATTCCTAAACATTCGCCAAGTGCTATTTTTACTTCCTTGTACGAAGTAAAAAGGAAGTATTGTAATCACGAAAAGTTTCAGGCAACATATTTCAACGAAAATATTCATTTTCACCGCTATCGAATGCAATTTAACGATGTTTTTGCGTGATATCTGTACGTAAGGACAGAATAAAAGACTCTTTTCCTCCAAAAAAATTATAAAACTGCTTTAAAATGAATTCTGAAGAGAATTTTTCGTGGCATCTGTACGAACGTATGTACGTACGTATCTCGCATAACTCAAAAACGAGTAGCCTCAGAACATTGAAATTTGGTATATAGGACTGCTATAACATGTAGATGTTCACCTCGTATTTTGGTTGCAATTGGCTGCACCAAACGTATATAAATATATTTATATATATATCCACTTTGTTACCCGGCTCAGTGATCTCAGTTTCTTTACTCTTATATGTTTGTAAATTGTACATTTCTTGCTTTAAAAATGATTGAATTATGTTGTTCTTATCTTCCAGTTAAGGTTTTTATGCCTTTCATAATTCTGGAAGCAATATTTGTACAATTATCAACAATTTAAAAGCTGTTTAAGTGCGGTTAAGTTTTAAATAACATGGCGGACATATTAGTTTACATTTGAAACAGCAGGATTGTAGATTTGTTGCCAATCTAGACAGACTAAGCTTCGCAACACAAAAATAAAGCCTTCATTTATTATTGCGAATTAAATCATGCTTAATCCTTTCTGGAATTTTTTCGAGGAAATAAGTGTTTAAGATTTACTTCGTAATTTTTAATGCAGATATTTTGAGTTTTTATGTAGTTTTGCCTTGTCGCGAAGTGAGAACTGAATTAATTGAATGAGAAATATTAAATCGTCTGTGAAAAACTGTTTGTTTTCTGTTTTGTTTGCTTAATTTCTTTCATACATCGTTTTAGCTTTATTTTATCTGAATAGGACACGTGGCAACGATATTTCTTCAAATGATATAAATTTTGTGCATTCAGAGTGTCGTTATAGTAAACAAATATAGTGAATTTTAAAGAGTGCATTTATTCTATTGTGGTTTATGCGCTGTCGACGAAGTAGATTTAATTCAATCCAATCAGTTTAAACGAAATTCAAGGAAAAAATGCGTATAATTTAATATGTCATGCAGTGTACACATCAGATTTTTTTCTATGAGACCACGCGGGAAGTCTAAGCTTAACTGCCCACATGCGTGTGGAACACATAAAAATTCGCTGCCTTTACGAGGTCTTCTATGGGTTAAAGCAATTAAAAAACTAGAAACTAATTTTCAAACCTAACTGTTTTTAAGAAGATTCTAAGCAAAAGGTTGATTCCATAACTCGTTTTGGTAATTCATTCCATCGTTCAAAACAAGCTACTAAATGCAAACATAGATTGTGATGACCGTAGCAATATTATATACCAAATTCCATATTGAGCCAAATGATATTCTGACAAGTTTTTCTAGCAAATTTATCAAAACCTTTGGAAATTTTAAATTTTGTGATATTACTAAATGTTGCAAAGTAGTTTTCCGTTTTTCAAGAATTGTATTTGATAGTAATAAATAATACTTCTTTTCTAACTCTTCATGAAACTAGTTTACTTCTTTTTACTTTAAAATTTTGTTTTTATACATACATGCACTATTGTCTACAAAAACTTTTATCCAGCCTTTATATTCGCAACCATTATAAAAATGTTTTAAATAATGAAAACGCTGATGTTTCGGCATTTTTAAGTTTAAAAAAATCTATTTTGCAAAAGTTACGATTTTTTTTAATACTGTCCTCCATTCTCTAACTTAAAATTTTATTCTCTCTATAAAAAAAAAATAAAAAGGCTTCATTTCCGTTTGGCAAAAATTGACACAGTTAATTTCAAAATTTGGCTGTGTGGCGTTATCTTGACGGATCAGTTAAGTAAATAAAACTTAAAATAATTTATGGTTGATTTTTCCTGTTGGATGCCATTCACTGGATGGAAGTAGGAAGTAAGAGAAGATGGTCTAACTGGTTTTCCCCGCTCACTGCTTTGAAGCATCAGAAGCGATTCTTTCGTGGAGACCAAAACATTCAATGACTTACCATTAAGATCAATGGGTTTTAATATGATCGGATGTAAACATTTTATAATGTGTCGTAAATATATGATTAAATAAATATATACATATTCTTTTTGTACAATATTTCAGAGTCCTAAGTATGTGAAAAGAATGCATTTTCAAACAACATTTCATTCTGAACAGAACTAAATGCTATACTTTTTCCAGAACAGTTTGCTCAGAACAATTTAATTTGAATGAAATATTTTCACAAGTTTTCGTTAATTACATTAGAAAAATTTTTAAGGTAATTCTATCTTATTCGGTTAAGGATTACAAAAATTAAGATTAAAGTTTATTGTATTAATGGTATTAGTTTATTGTATTATTAGTATTAAAAATTACGCATTATTTCTTTTCTATTTACAGAGCTTCCTTCTAAAATACTTTCTCAAATATGAGATGATTTTTAACTTCTGAGGCATCTTTTAAATCCAAAATCTGAGTCAATTTATAATTAATGCTCTGTTCGGTTCATTTCAAATTACAGCACTTTTTTATTTTAATAGTGAAATATAGTAAATATTGGTGCTGATTTCTTTGTACTTAACTTTCTATGAATATTTCTGAAGGGGAATAAAAAAGGATTCTTTTTTTTAATATTATTTAAAACTTGTAGTTGAGTTATTATAAAGTGTAAGGAAATAATTATTTTAATACTTATCAGATTTCTTTTACCCTTAAATTCAACAATACACATTTTAAAAACTCTTCTTTACTACTCCCATAGAGTGCGCATCTCATAGAATTTGCTTTACAACACCTTTTAACAGATTGCTATCCACATGTACGAACAAATCTTGCTTAAATAGTTTTATAAACGTATTTGTCAACGGAATTTATTAAACAGTTAGATAATATTTACAATAGTTATAAATTCAGATATATTTAGTAACTAGATTTTTTCCCAGCAACTTTTACAGGAGTTTATGAATGAATAAATACTTCATTTCCAATTACATTGTAAGGTTTATCCTAAGTTTATAACAGTTGTTTTTAAGTTAAAGATCCTTTCCTGTCTCTCCTAATTTCAGCTTACAATTCCTTACCAGAATGAGGTTTTAGAAATGCGTTAAATGGAAATGAGAAGGAGTAGTTCCACTGACTTCGGTAGAGAAAATTCAATTTCCTGAATAGCGTGTCAGGACTTGTATGTCTTTTGATCTGCTTTGGAAATATTACGTGTACTGAACAAGAATAGGGAGCTTACTAAAGCTATGTTTAAGTATGTGTGGGATGGACAACCAGGAAGGGTGTACTGAACCCTTTATTCTCTATAAGATTACAGGTGCTGCCGTATTTCGGGATACAGAGACCAACCACTTGTGGTCTGAACGTAAAATATAAAACTACTAACTAAAAGCTAACTTTAAATTAGTTTACAAATGCGTAACACTAAGACTGGCCTTTTTAAAAGGTTACGTAGGTAGTACGCAAACTGCTAAAACTACAATACGTTTTGAATATTAAGAGGACTAAACCTCTGGCCTTAAAGGCGGACAGCAACTGATTGAAAACTTGTAAGAATGCAGTGGCAAGGCGCCTCTCTTCCCCTCTCTCTCTTACTCTTGGCAAAAAGCCACAACTTAAATACCTGGGCGTTAGCAAGTACAATTTGCATAAACAAGTTAAAGCACTTAATTTTGGCCGAAGTGGGAAATAAGAAAAGCTAGTACAGTTTTAAAATAAAATAAACGTTAGTAAAACTTAAGATCCTTACAAGCGTGCCTTTGCTTTTTGGTTAAATCTCTCTAAGCTGTTACTACTCTTGCCGTATTACGTGCCCTTGATAGTTTCGCTGGTTAATTTAAATTTAGGGGCCAATCAGTTGGAAATTGTGTTAGCTTCGGCTAAATCTCTTTAGTTAGTTTTTAGTTATTTCCTATATTTGAGTTTAAGCCCAAGTGGAGGCTTTGTTGTACGTTCTGAGAAAAGGACCGTCTGTACACCTTTAGTCTGAGCAATAAAGGATAATTA